TCTCTTAAACGAATCAGTGAATATTTCCTAATTTTCAGTGTTAATCCAGTCACCGAGTGAATTAGTAATTGGATTAGCACTGAAAACCAGTGAATGCACTGTACATCCAAGTGTATTCTTGTTATGCACCTAAACGTGTTAAATAAAACGTCACCCATTTGATGAACATTCTAGTCACTTTTATTGCATTTCTAAATGTGTAAAAAAGGACTACAATGCCCGAGTGTAACGAGAATGCACTTGGATTTACAGTGTAGTCATTTTTTACTGATTTAGAAAAACTAGAAATACACTGCACGCTGTCTCAAGTCAACAACGTAAAAAATTATTCATTTTTATTCATTTTGAAAGTTTAAAAATAAAATTGACCAATCAGCGCACGAATAAAATAGTTACCCTTTTCTGATTGGTCAATTTAATTTTGTATTCTTTAATTATTGTTTTTTGGTATTTGTTACGGTAATTAAAAAATTTGTTTTTGTTATTATCATTGTTAAATTGTAATCTCTATAATTTTATAAAAAAAAATACTATAAATATTTAATTATATTCACAGGAACAGTTTTTATAATTGTATTTCGTTGCCTAACAGTAAGTCACGAGTTTTAATAGATAGGAGAAATAATATTCAAATAAATTTTCTAGTGTTTAATATAACGTTAAATAATTTTCAGAACGATACAAATAAATGATTAAACTCTGCGCAAGTTTAGTCAATACTATTCACAATGGTTTCAAACAAAATATCAAACTCCAACATTAGCTTGACAATTGCATTGTAACGTGATCGGGTACACCCCTTAATACCACATAAATTTTGCACGAGTAGTGTAAACAGCCCGGGGGTTACAACACTTCTCTTACACACCACCCACCCTTCAGCGTTACCACGAAGCGCGAGCGCGTAGATATCGGTATGCATCGCCGTGCAGCCATTGTGTAGCCGTGATCTGCTCCCCAGGGGCTGGATGGCTTTATGCCATAACTGTTTCGCTAGGTGACACCAGTAGGAAAGGATTTTGCTCAGACAATATACAGCCATCGAGTTTTCTACTCTCCACCATCTTTGTTGTTTTTTAAAATATTTTTTATTCGCTCCACCTTTTCACTTCTTCGCCTTTTTGTTGCTATTCTTTCGTTCATTTTTTTACAACTTGAACTTTTACTGAAATAGGAGACGATCTGTTTCACCAGACGATGCCGCTGCTTTAATAATAATAAAGGACTGAGGTGTTTGCTTTTTATAGACAAGATTTGATCCGCGGTTTTATAACATGAGCTTTAAGCTTATGCTGCTTTATTTTTATCCTTTTTTCGTACATTGATTTCTAAATTATGTTTCATAGAAATTTTTATTATTTTAAATGGAGTAAAATATGAATACAATCGTGTTCTTTTAAATAAATCAGTAAATATTAATTAATTACTCTTGGAAATTCTTGTAGTAGGAATTAGTGTAATAATTGATTAAACAATTTGAATAATAATATTTCTTTTATTATCATGAAGATTTAAAAGTATGTCTTTATAATAGAAAAGGCTCTGGTGAACTCATAAGACCAGTAATACTTAGACTACACAATAATTATCAAGTCCAGATCAATCCTAAATGTTATTGAATAAATAATATACTTCTTCTTAGAAGAGTAATAAAACTTAGCCTAAGACATATATTATGTTATTATATTATCAACATAAACATGTGCCATGTCGTTCACACACTGGAAAAAATCATGTTTAATTAAAGTAAGAATTACTAATAATTAATAGAAATTTTTAATTATAAATAAATCCGTTTTTTACTGCACATAAAGCAAAATAAGTAACCTAATCATAAAATAGAATAAAATAATGGTAAAATTTGTTCATATTCCAACAATTATCAGTACTATTTCAATCACTGAATGAATCAGTAATTAGATTAACACTGAAAATCAGTGACAATTCACTAATTTCCAGTTATAAAACCATCACTATTCGAATAAGTACTATTATCATTACTCCAAACAGTAGGTATTCATTGATTGATTTATTTTGAAGAAGGAGGGCAAAATTTTATCTTATACCAGAGAATTTTTTGCAGGATTCAAGAGCAAAAAGATTAGTAAGATCAGAGGAAGTTTTGATTTTCTTTGGTAGTGTACCATTATTGACCCAAGATAAAGTAATTTTATCGCAATAATTCTATCTATCATAAGTGAAAAAATGATAAGTCCACATTTTTAAAGATATGAGTTCTTTCTTTTTTTATTGAATTGCCAACAATATTTAATTCATTTTATTTCTTTTTGCACATAAATAAGGATTATATAGAGAAGATTACACTAAGAAAAAAGGGGAGAGGAGAATTACTGAAACTATTTTCATGAATAAAAACGAAGAAAGTTGCAATAATAATTCTTTTAGGAAAATTTTTAATGAAATAGTTGAATAAAATATTTTAGAATAATATGATTTAATAGAAACAAAAGTTTAATAAAATTTTTTTAAATGTATCCATCAAGTCACTCTCCATTTATTATATCAGGATTAAAACATAACAGTAAAAACGTTACCCAGCAATAGGATTTATACAATAACAATAAAAACTTGATCATAAATCATGAAATCATAGGAACTGATGATAGAGAGTAAAAGAGAAGTAATAAGCAATTAGATCATAATACTTGTGTAATTAATTACAAAGAATTCCAGCAAAGATTTTATGGCAATTAATAATAATTTGACGGTAACATAAGAATTATTATGCACTGTTATTTGCACTTAGGATCACTTTTAATGAGCTCACTGACTAAACTTTCGATGAAGCGTTACAGTAAAATAGGTAGGTACTGAAGTCTCGTCGTTCGATCGTACTTAAGTACCTTACCAAAGTCTCGATTTTCATCCGCTCGAAATTCTACGAGCGACATGACCGAGACGTCGTTTTCCCTTAGGGGGCTAGAAATGATCAGGGTAGAATAAAAGAGAAGGAGGAGTAGACCCTGCAAGGATTTGGATTGATCGGTGCTACGAGTGACTACTTATACTTTACCCTAACCAAGATATTACCCCATTAATTCTAATGTCTTCCTACCCTCAGCTTAAATTACTGCAATTATAAATAAATATTCCGAGTTATTGACTTATTATAAAATACGTCCGATTAATTCGATATTCAAATTTTTTCATTTTCATAAAAAAAATTTTTTTTAATATGATTCAACAATTGAATAAATAATATTGAAGCAGATTAATAAATCAAAATTTATACTTCAATGATTATTGAGACAATTATCCATAAATATCTTCTCTATTTGTTGTAGTAATTCAATAAAACGATATAAATCCGTTTTGTTGAAAAATAAATATTTTTTGTATTAAGCATAAAAAAAGTAATACCTTCAATTTTTATTATTTGAGTAGCAGACAAGGACTTAATATTTGTGAATGCAGAGGAGAATTATTAATAAAAAGCTGGATCAAAATTTCAACCGTAATAACGTATATTCCATAGTCTCTTATGAATAAATCAATATTTGCTTAATGTAATCCATTTATTGCTATTCAGGTGGGTATGTTAAATATTCAATGCCCCAAGAATATAATTTTGATTGTACATTGAGATACCAAAATGAAGTAAAAATAAAATATGTCACAGTAGTATCCAACTAGTGAATTTGAGTCTAATAATTTTCTTAAAAGCTGCCAATTTTAGATTAATAAAAATCAATGACGTCAAACTGTTTACGTCAACTCTTCAAGAATTAACGTTTAAAATAAGTAAAAATCTACTAAACTCCAACGAAAAAAAAAATGAAAAAATAGTAAAAATTGATGGAATAGGTATAAATAAATTGGCTTAAAAAAGAGAACTGCACTTAAGCCAATAAACAACGTTGAAAATACGGTTATAATGGGAAATATTTCAACTGCTCTTGATGTTTTCTATATATTTCGTTATTTCTATTTTCTTTCTACTTTATTTTCAACTCATTAATCCAATTCACGAGATTTCTCGACTTTTTGGACATTTCCGGTGGAAAAGTAAAAGAGTGAAATCGACAACGAGACTAGTAACTCAAAACGATCAATCTCCGTTATTGCTCACTAGTCCGGAGTTTTATAACTAAACGTATAGTACACTGTTATAAATGGTAACTTTATAGGCAACTGTGTGGTTATTACTCTTCGTTCCTTACTACCACCCAAGTTTATGGTTCATGTTTTATTTTCATGTGTAAATTTACCTTTTTTCTAACCTAGGATATTGAACTGCGATGAGTGAATGACATTTCAACTTTGAGGCTTCATGAAAAAATTATGTCACAGTTAATTTTCTTTATTAAAACTCTTTTTAATGTCGGAATTTTATTTGTTAAAAATAACTGAACGATTGAAATAATAAACTACAAGCGGTAGAGAAATATTTGAAAGTTAAGTGAATTATTCTGTACTCTAATTAAATAAGTAGATTGTATAAAATTAGTTGTTGATATTTTATGAAGAAATTAAATGCAAAAAGTATCATGTCAGTTGGTGGATGCAGAGAAACAAGTTTATATACGAAAACTTCTCTATTTATTAAACGAGTTAATGAATGGCACAAATTTTGTTCAAAAATACTTCAAGCTGAATATGAATTTAGAATATTATATGTAAGTGAAAATATTTTTATAAATACTTTTTAATTAACAAATGTATTTAAATAGTGTATAATAATAATAATGAAATACTAGTTTAAGAATTGATTTAAAATAATTGAAAGATGATTAAAATGACTGCAAAGGTTTTTATAATGGAGACAGACGTCTGGTGTACTCTGATCTCAGTGGTAAATGATTATAAGCAAAGAAGTCAAATGTTGCTGACGACAAATAATGTCGTTTATCAATCAAAATATAGATGAAGATATAAGATTATTTGACAATATAATAAAATTGGTGAAAAATGATAGAGAAATGAGTGTAGAGATAAATAGGAAATATCTGATGAGAAAGTGAATGTAGGAGTTTTCTTACCTTGCAGTGTGTGCAGTTATAGATGACCGAGTATGGCTGAGCGCAGTCGTATCGCGCGAATACCTCCCCGAACTCACAGTGAAGCCTCGCAGCAAGTGCGTCGACGCTGAGGAGTTTGTCTAGAGCTTGGACGCACTGAGATCCCCCGTTTAAAACAGCCTCGAGTGGGCCACCTTTGCCGGGAGCCAAGGCATTGATAGCCGCATGTTCGCAGCAATGACGAAGACGGAGACCACTAACGAACCAATATCGATTTTCCTTGGGGGTTAAAAAACTTAATGGACTGGCCCGCGCGAAATCGTCCCGACAGATGTCTTGCTTGTGCGACTCCTCGAGGTAAAAAAGGCACTGATCCGGAGCCGTACCGCCGCCTACCGTCCTAGAGTTACCACCAGACGACGACGACCTCCACTTCCCGGCGCTCGCTGCGGAGCCGGTGCGTAACTTGACCGGGATGTCAAGGCGTTCAACTACCTCGCGAAATATCTTTTTAGCATCGTGTTGATTTGGACAAGGCATTGGGCAGTATTTTGGCACTTCTGGGGGTCCACAGGTACCCTGAAGATCAGCTGGTGCTGGTCCAGCCAGATCACAAGCCGATAACCAAGGATTTATCTGGTTCACCTGCCAGGAGTATTCGTTGTAGGGATGTGTCTTTTTGCTGCCCGGATGCCTTTGCGGGTTATTGAATCCACGAACACGTTCTGCAGAGGACGAATTGCGGGTCAAGTTCGCTGGTGAGTCCAAGATGGATGTGGCCAAAACCCCCGAGGACGGGTCGGTAGAGCACAAGTATGGTAATACCAGGAGGTAAAAGAGAAAGAGGAGACTGTAGCTTTTTCTATTCTGTGCTTTTCTGTATATTTTATTATTTCTTCGCTCTTTCTCTCGATAAATTTGTGGCTCTTCCGACCAGGCAGTGTGTTTCCATTCAATTTTCTGCTTGGGCCTTTTACCCGTTTGCTTGTATACTTGATGCTTTCTTCTCTCAGACGAGGCAAAGAAGAAATTCGTTTCCGTCTCTTCCTGAGTATCCTCGTTATCCTGCTGTTCGTGATGATTGAAGGCAGTGTTATCAAACAGATCCGTAGTAATAGCATTTGGGTTTGCGGTGATAGCCTCATAATGCTCTTGATGGATAGTAATCGAGCAATGGCTTGTTCCGCAGACGTAACAGGCATGATAGTGAGAATGGGTGATGCTCGGTTGGTATGTATCGGTCTCGCGTGAAGCGACATAGGCAGTGCTACGGGTTGTCGTGTTAATATTATCTTCGTCTTCGTCTTCATCGCTATTATAATCATCATCATAATAGTCCTCACGATCATCCAGTGTATTAATTTGTGATAGGACGGCAAGACGATCGCGTGCACGTCGTGTATGGGTGATGTGTGATACATGGCGTCGATAGTAATACAGTGACGAAGAGCGGATTGAGTGAACGGTGGTAGTCGCGGATAATGTACGCGACGAGTGTTTCCGCTCGCTCTTCGTCTTTGTCGTGGGTGGTGGTCCCGTGATACGGGGCGGGTGCTCGAGTCGCATGAGCACGTGACAGGGGACACTGACGTGCCCACGACGACGTTGTCGACGCTCGTTCCAGGAGGCGAGCGTCGACCTCCCACTTGGTCTTCTGTTTCTTGTTTTGTTTCCTCTTTTTTCGTCCTCCTCTTGGTCAGCAAATCTTTCTCTAACTCCTCCTCTCGAAACCACCACGTGGGCTGCTCGGGCCTGGCTCGCCGGCGACAGGGACGACGGCGCGGGTTGCTGCGTTCGTTTGATCCGGGCCGCATCGCTGAAGCAGCCACGAAGGCCTGGGCCCGACGCCGCCGTGTGCTGTTCTAGCACCCGGTACGTCAGCCAGGGGCCGCCTAGTGACGCCGCGGCTTTTGCCACGTGACTGTAATGCAGTAGTGATCGCGACGATGACGGCTGACCAACAGCGCCAGCTTTGTCCTCGTCGACGTTGTTGTTTTGGATCTTTGGACCACTTGATGTAGTCCTCGAGGTTGCTCCAACGAGAACGAGTGTAATACCGTAAACACGGATCTCGTCCTCCTCTTTGCCGCTGGTCGCCGGTGATGTCGCGACGACGTTTCTTCTTGCCCCGCTTCCTCACCTGATGTTGTGTCTTCAGTAATGGCTGTTGCTGTTTCTTCTTCGTCTTCTGCCTCACACTGATGCAACAATACACGCGGTTCATGCTGCATGCTGAAGCCGCTGCGTCACCACGCCGCCAGCCGTCGTCCTGCACGTCTTGGCTTAGTCACATCAACCCCAGCCGCCGGGACTTTATCACGGCAGCTGGATCTGAAGGATACACCACGCCAATTAACGCTAATTTACGACAATACACGTACTATTTAAGTTGTTAAATATTCAACTAAATATTATCAATCGAGAAGACGATTTTGAATTTTACACTATTTTATTGGCACCAACACCACCAACACCATTTACACCAACACCAAAATCATCTCGACACTACTGATACAGCGCTGCTCCGAACGCGCCACCGTCGTCACCGACGTCGCTGCTGATGCTCTCCTACTACACTCACATATGCACTCACTTTGCACTCGTTAAAAGGTCGGGAATTCTTCTAGTTTTCTCCTCGTTTATCAGTTAAGCTTCTTCACTCATGTACTGTTCACTCTTGATGATGATGATGATGATGATGATGATGATAATGATACAGATTAATCTTTTCTGCAATCAACCATCTCCGCTGTTTATTTATTTAATTATTTTTTCTAATATCATTTCTTGTTATTCCTTATCACTATAGTCCTACAAATCTCACTACCAAGTCGTTTTCTTCCATTTCACAGGCCACCAGAAGACTCAAGCACACTCACTCCCTCTCTCTTTCTCAGAAACGCGTGCACCACACCACCACCGTACTCTATGTCCTTTCGACGACGAGAATGGAACTAAACCTCGCCTACCACCCCCGGAACAAGTCAGCCGTGTGCACGGCTGTCAGGGGGCGGGGCGTATCACTCTTTTCGTTGTCTTGGTCGTAAAATCTCACAAACGTGCGCATGTATCCTTTCTTTTCCTAAAGTAAAGTTTAAAAAATCCATGAGTTTACACCGCTTATCGAGGGAAAAAGGTAAAATTGTCCCGGGACGCACGACACGAGCCGGGTGATGCGCACACGTCCTTCCTCGAGTCACGGGGCTCGAGACTAACGCACTGGCACACTCTTGGGCGCAACCACCGCCAAAGAGAAAGAGAGAGGGAGAAAAAGCAAGACAGATGAAAAAGATAGAAACTGAGAGAGAGAGAGAGAGTACAGGAAGGGGTGAAGGAGAGCCCAAGGGGAGACAAGCCGCTGGACTTTCTCTCCTCGTCTGAAATCTCAAGAGAGAGCACGCTCCAAAGGCTCCAAGGATCTATAAGCTCTCCATGGAATCTCTATTTGCAACGCGTGTACGCACTGTACCAGAATCCCATTTTTCATCAACAATTATCCTTTTACATTATCCTATTTTTTCATTTTATTTCTTCATCCAGCTTTCAGTTATCCTTTTTTTTGTTTTAATTTCCATTGCGTAACTTGCTGGATTTTTCACTTAAAAGAATTATGATGACTTTTTAAAATTATTTTTTCAAGGAACAGAGATGGTTTTTTTTGTTGCACCACTAATTCACGCACAGGAACAAAAGAAAACGACAAAAAAGAGATTCCGGAAGACAGGTTTGTGAATAAGTACAAGACTCAGGCCGCTGAAAACTCGTGACACAACGCGCACGGGTGTCAGCCGGCCGTTCTCACTTGCCGTCAGTGGAAGGCGGGCGTCGCAAGCTCCGCCATCTTCGTTTTTACCGCTCCCCGCCCGGGCTATCCGACGCTTCCACCCCAGCACGGTTGCTCCTTCTACTTCTCCCCTTACAGCTTTCGACCCTGCGCTCGCCCTTTTCCTGTACAACTCATCCCCTTCTCTTTCCTGCTCTCGCTTGACAACTCTTCCCCTCTTTTCATTTCTCTTTGCTTTCTACTACCCTTTAAATTGTCTTCAACTTACTTTTGACAACTCTGAATTACTCGAAAAAACACTAACTAACTTTTAAAATAAAAAATTTTACTTTACTTTTACTCTACAACTGTCATTAATCAAATACAAACAGTTTCATAATTATTTATAAATGATTTATTAAAAACAAAAAATCATTTATTTCATAAAAATATCAAAATGATTATTACTAGATTGAAGAACAAAATTTTTTAAAATGAGACAAACCAATTGAAAAATTTCAAAAGCTCAAACAATCGCGCCATCAATTGGCGCAAGCGTAAATTAAACGCAGTAGTAGCGCCTAGAATTTTTAAGGGGTAACAATGATTATAGTCAGACAGATGAGGGTAAAGAGAAAGAGAGTAGGAGAGTGAGAAAGATGCGCATGAGCAAGGATAAAGGAAAATTTTGCAAGGATCGATAATTCACGACCAGCTGCAGAGAGAAGAGCGAATTTAGTCACGCGGCCTGCCTATCCGATTGCCACTCGTCGAGCTACCCTCTCTCTTTACTTTCTTTCTTCCTCTTCTTATTCGTTATGCATATACGAACACTCTGTCTTGCCACTTGTTATAAAATTGGTCTTGTGCCATTGTAACTAAGCTCTGATACAAATTGAGATTAAATCAGTGTGATTTTATTGTCATTATTATCTTTGTAATAATAGAACATCTTTTTGCTTTTTTCCTTTGATAAGGTGAAAACACGTGACGATAGTTGGCTCATAATTAACTTTTGAATTAATACTAAACGAATATATTTTTTAATATAATTTTTCAATGGTTTATTTTAAATCTGACAAGGATAAGCTCATATATGTATGTGTAGGAAAGAAAGCTGACTATAATCTTTGCAAACTTTGAGGCGTAAATAAATAATATTCTTTAGTAATCTGTTTTGCCCTGGTTTCCTTAATGTAGAAGCAAAATGTCAGTTATTATACATGTAAGCATTTACCTTTGATGAATCAAAGTGAATTACAAATAAAATTTAACATTTACTTAAACTACCTTTTAGAGCAGAGATTTCTTAGTGGTATGAAGTAGTTTATCATTTTATGCATACTTAGAAATCCAACTATTTTAAATACGTGCAATGATAAATATTATCATAACTTTTTACCCATAAATTTATAATAGATTTATCTAACAGAGATTATCTATCAAATCTGAGGATATAAAAATATTGGATAAAGTCATGGAAAATGCTTGAAAATAACCATGATTTTATCATTTAACTTGAGCGAAAAAAGAAAGAAACTCATAAATATTCTAAAAAGACTTGAAATTTTCATAATGATAAAAATATTCACACAGCAGGAGTACAAAAAAAATTATTTCAAACCTTTTGGATTAAATGAAATTCCAAAAAATCCATTTTTCAGTTGAAACTGACATGAGGGTGAAAAAGAAAGTAGTAAATGATGGAATAGTTAGAGACATTGACTGATAAATGTTGATAATTTCTTGATGAATCCTGTTGAGATGATATGATAACCAGCAAGCACAAAGCTACAATTTCAATCAAGAAATATTATTCATCATCTCTACACAGTTTCCTGTTGTGTTAAAGACACAAAAGAGACAAGAGTGTAGAGTAGTTGGTGAAGATGAAAAAGAAGGGATGAGGATTTTGGTGGTACAAGTATCGAAGGGGCGAACTTTAAGGAGTATTGTGCCGTCACGTGCGACCACTCGCCACGAGAAAATGAACATTATCTTAGTATAGGAGTGTTTCGACATGGATTTGAGTTTTCTACACACATTCTCACATTCTTACCCTTTACATTTTCGATTTTCGTCTTATAGCTATCTCAAGAGAGAGGCATAAAGATGATAAGCTCAAAGATGAGGATCAATGTTACATTCTTTTCAACAAGAATATACTCTTTAAGAATAGATTTACTATTCATACAACAACATCAAATTATTTGAAATTCACAGTCAAATTTTCAAATAAAATTTTCAATATTATTACACTACCTTCATGCTCTTATTTTTCTAGTTATTTGATACACATTTTATTTTCTTGTCAAGTGCAGTTTGTTTCACACGGAAGTTAATTCTCCTAAAATCGATACCAACAGAATTTTATTGACGTCAGATTTGAAACGGAATACATCAGGAACTTTTATTTACAGGGAAATCGTAAAAGAGTGACACCATAAGATCTATTGGTAAACTCGCAATTACATTCGTCTGTTTGGTCATTTCAGTCAATCGAGATAGATCGTATCATCAGGCTGAATCTTGGATTCTGTAGTATTCCACAATGTAACTTGTCTTTCATAAATCATGTATCTTCAGAGCTATCCTCCTATTCTATTCTATCATCTGTTCTATTCCCCTTTCTTTCTCTCTTTGGCTTCTCAACGTTAGTCCCTCTCGTTGCTTCCATTCTCTCTGAGAATGTTACAATATATAGCTATCAATAAAGTTGCTTGCATTATATGATATAAACTCACAGGACGGAAATCGCTGATTCAGCTACAATGTTAGTACTTCAACTAATGCAATCAATCGACTATAAAAATGTTCCGACAGGTTAATTATATTTAAATATTTATATGAAAATAATCGTGTAATTGTCGATTAGTTTTAGAAAATTATTGAAAAAAGAAATGATGAATTTAATTGCCAAGAAAAAAATAGAAAAAAATTGTAGTAATCAATAAACAGACTGATTTACAATCTAATTCAAGTATTTAAGGTACTTTGAGCGTGTATGATAGGCTGCAGGTGAGTTTTATTTTTACACATGGTATTGCTCACATCAATTTGCTTTATTTGAGTTAAAAAAATAGTAGATTGTTTCTAGTCTTAAGCAGAATCACATTGAATAATATTTTTTCAATGGTTTTTCAACATTTCGTTGCAAAATTTTTTAAGTGTAATTTCACGAGAAAAATCAAATTAAACAACTACATGTATATATCAATGTATATAACAGTTGTACTTTGCGTTAGTTCTTATTTTTTTTACGACTCTTTTACTACAGGTTCGACTTCAAAAACTTTTAAATGAATATTTTAAATAATTTAAAAATAAAAATTTACACATTTTTGATAATTTTATTGGAACAAAGGTTGATAGAATTACGTAAAAGATATTTTATAAGTGATCATGATCGTCATCTATATAAAGAATGATTAAATTCAGCATAAATTTTAGTGAAAATGTTTTATAATTATCAAGCAATTACTTTATTACTACTTTTATAAAACCCAGTCCTACGCTCTCAAAGTACCTCAAGTAAAAAGCTATTAATAGTAAAATAGAGATCTACAGTAAAATATGAAAACTATTTGAAATTTAAACTCTTTTCAAGTTTATAAATTCAAATTGAACTTTATTATCTTTTATAAGAAAATTACGTTTGTCAAATAATCTTTTGTTTAATTGTAAACATAAAAGTATTGCTTATATCAACAGTAATGTATTAAATATTATCAGTTATGCATGATTACAGATTCAACTTGATCGATTATCTTCTATAGATATTTTTATGTATCAACATTTCATGATTATCATTATTATTACTGTATTTTACTATATTCTTAATTTTTAGGGTTTATCATTATTTATTAGATATTAAAATTTGAAAATGATATTGTTAAAAATAATTATTTTTCTTTCAATTTTAAATTATTTTTTTTTTTATGTGAAAGAATCATCTTATTGATCTTTAATTCTTAATTTTATGTCCTGCATTTAATAACATTAATGTTTCATCATTTCATTCAAGTTATCAATAATTATTTACACTTCTATATCACAGATTAGCATGCCAATTAACATTTTCATCATTTTAATTTATTTATCATTGATTCATGATCATTTTATTTTTTTTTCTTTTCAATGATAACTGATAACCATGAAATTAATAAATTCATTCTCATTTAAAAAGGAACGAAAAAAAAGAAATATTTTTAATCTCTTCGTGACGCTTAATAAAATAAATTAAAAATTATTCTGTAAATTTATGATGATATTCATTTAACTTCGCTCTTGAGATTTTCATTAGATCAATATAATTACTGATAGAACAATAAAAAATATTCAACCAACTATAATTAGTGTAAATAAATGAAATAACGATTACAAGAAACGTAAAATGATTTTATTTATTTATTAAATTTTATTTATTTCTGTAAATTAATAAAATGAGCACCATATTGAAATTCCTGTTTTATCTTCTATTTTTTGCCGTGTTCTATTTTATTTTTACATCTCCGTTAACTTTATACACACAGCATGATTTAAATGGAAATTTATTTCTTTTACTCTCAGTTTAAAAACATACAAAAAAAAAATAATAATTTGATAAATTTATGAATTCTCATCACAACATAGTAATTATTTTCTTGTGATTGATACTGATACATATTAAATCTCAATATTATCAGTAAATAAATCAACTGTACAAAAATTAATTGATTCAATTATTGATTTTCAATAATTTTTTATGCATAATTTACAATTGAAATCATTATTATTTCATATTTATTAAATTTTGTAAAATAAATTTAATTTCAAATGGAAAAAAAAAATCTATTTTTTTTTAACTAAGAAGTATTAAAATCATTTAATTTTCTATCTTTATTACAAAAGTGTATTAAAAAAAATCATCTACGATTGTTGTTGTTGTAAACAAATCCTCAAGATCTATTAATTAATCATTACTGTATGCTTTAACATAACGGATTTTGCGTCAATACCTTAGCCAGCTCGCTATCTAAATCGTCGATTGTATAATGCTGAGTTGCTGATGATGACGATGATGATTGTGGCTGTGAAACGTGCACAACAGATGCTGGTAGTTCTTCAGCATCTACACTACACACAGCAACGGTGTATTCATCATTACTGCTTGTGGACCGCTCAAACTCAGATGGTTCGCCTGGACATCAAATGTTTGCCCGAGTCAATGAGACGTCACACTATGATACAGCTCATCATCTTCTTATGCACGGAAAAAAATTGAAACTCTCTTCAATTTGAACTTTAATCAAAATTTTAATAAACAAACTAACAAAAAATTATTTAGGGAATAATTGAATGAATATTAAAAATTATTAAATTCATTTATTAATAAATAGCGTGCATTTTAATTAAATCTATGCTCAATTCTAAAGGATGCATTTCATTTGCAATAAAAAAGATAAGTATAAGAATGTCATCAAGAATTTTAAATTGATAATTTTTTTCCGTGCATGATATTTCTATCATCAACATCGATAAGAAGATATGATAGATACGTACGTATAGCAAATTACGTAAGTCTGATAATAATTTCGTATAATTTAGTCTCGATAATATCTGATAATGAATAAAGAATAATAATAACTTACCATTGATACTGTGATTGTCCGATACTAAAAAGGTCGTGGTACCAGATATTTCACCCAAGTGTGTGCTACTGTCTCTAGACGTTATCAAAGTTCGAAAGGAATCGTCACTGCTACTTGAGGAATTTGAGTTACGTCGTTGTTGCGTTCTTCTCGCACGAGAAAAAGGATTTTCTCTTTGTTGTGTAAATGTACCACCTTGCGTACCTTGAAAAATAAAGCAACACATTTTCAAATACACTTTCTTCATTTTCCTTCACTACTATATCACCAAAATCACTTCATTATTTACGAGTTACTTTTCAAGTTAACAACTAACACCAATTATAAAAAAAATTTGAAGTTTGATGATTTACCAAGGTGGCCATCTCTTATGAGCGGTGTTGAGTCATCAGCATCTGAATCACTCTCACTGTCAGAAATAATTCTTTCGTTTGCAGCAAAAACCTTACGTTTACACACAGGACATACACGTTTGTTCCTGGTAAGCCAAGGATCAATACATTTGGAGTGATATGCTGTAAAAAAAAAAATAATTAAGGTATTTACAGATTGAAAAAACTATATCTTCGTATTACTTATTTACCAATAAATTAGACCACTTGATAATTTATTGAAACAAATGCTACGACTATTATATTGTTAAAATCAATAAAAGATTAAAAACTAAATAAAATTTCTAAAAAATATATTTGTTATAAATAAATTAGACATAAGCAAATTCAACCCTTGGGAATCCGAGCGCTTTTTATTATTTTACTATAAGAGTGAGTAAAGGAAACTTCGAGCCCAAATTAAAATTCCACATAAGTCTATCTCTCTTTTCTCCCAAAAAGTCAAAGTTTGCCTAGCTTGATAATAAAAACTCACCATGTGCACATGGTAGTACTCGTAGCTTATCATTCTCCACGTAATCATCTAAACAAATAGCACAGGTTTCATAGGGATCACCTTTAGTGTACTTATGAGTAGGAATTTTTTTTAAGCTGGATTTAGGCAACCTGTGCCTTCTTTCTCGTCTTCTATCTTTAATACACCTTACAACCATAAAAATCACCATGACTAGGAAGCAGATACCAACGACGATAGCAAAAGGTAAAAGTAAATGAGTGTTAAGATTAAAAGGAATATCGTCATTAATCAACACTGAAAAATTGCTGTCGTATAGATAATTCTCCTTAATAATGAGGCCTGTTATTTGGCTGACGAATACTGAAGGAATATCTATTCCAACTGGATCTTTTGCTGACATTGGTTCTGAAAAAAATTTATCTTGTTTATTCAGACTTAAATTCTCTAAAAAAAAAAAGACTTTAATAATTCAATTCCATAGTAAAATAAATCGTTAATACAATTCAAGTTGAATTTTTAATAATCTTACCTAATTCATTACTGTCGACATTATGAACAATAGCAGCATCATACCCAGCTCTTTGAGCTGTTCGAATTTTAGCTTCGAAGCTACAATTATACCTAGCTATTAAAACAATCCATATACCGTAGACATTTGTTTGATTTTCAGGAGGTCCTACAATGTCACGACATGCTGTAGGTGGATTAGCATAAACAACTTTCCCCTAAAATTTAATTAAAAATAATTGTTTTAATAAAAATTTATGTTTAAGTAAAAACTTAACATTTTATGTTTTATTTTATTACATTATTTAAATGATTGTAATTAAATAAAATATTTTTCTATTTATTTTAAGTAGTTGTTTTTTTCAAATTATATTTTATGGTAATTTTCCTGACAGTAAATAATTCTATTTTTTTTGATAAATTCTATAATACACATTCTTGTTTATATTGTACTTTATTTCAGTCATATTATCTGTATAAAACTAATCAATGCTTACTAAAAAGAAAAAACGATAATTATTCATTGTTGTAACTGATAAATAAATCCACTGGTTTATTCAGTGACATGATTTATGAAAGTTTCAACATAAACAAAATAAAAATAAATAAAAATATACTTTCTGTTTACTTAATTTATGTAAATTTATGTAATAAATTGAGCTAAAAAAAAGGAGGATAAATATAGCATCATTTTTCAGCATTTGCAATTCAATATAATTAATGTTACAATTTAATGAAAAATTCATAAATTCATACCCTGATGCCTGCAGAAGGAATTAGTGGACCAAATCGAGCAGGAGCATCGCGAAAATCTTCCTCAATCTGATGCCTAAAGGCATCAGAAAACACAAGAATATCTGCATTAGCGTAAGTAACGTAAGCAGTCAATAAGATCAGGCATAGTAGAATTTTTTGCCTTGCAAGACTGTCTACATTTACTTGTGACATTGTTCCCAAATAGAATTAAGATTACGAGATTATCAATAATTTTATTGAAATTATGAGGCTTTCATACCCCATAAGGATTTCACATTCTATGAGTTTTGATTGTGAGTGTGACTTAATTTGTCACGTATTAAAAAACAGTTATCAATACTGCCCTGAAACAATACAAAATAACATCTATTAAAATGTGAATTATTATTTTTTATACTTAATATAATAGTAGTAGTTAAAAAGTAACAATTTACTACGTTAATTGATAACAATTATCAAATGAAAAAAAAGGGGGATATTATTCAGTATTATTTTCACAACATTCATAACAGATTCATAAGTATTTATTATTTATTACAAATATAACATTGATTGAAATGATGTCAATTGTTATCAGTAGATTCACTCTCTATATCTAATTAATTCTTTCAACTTACTACTAATAAACATTGAGTGCATGAAATATCTATCAGTAACATAAAATATTTATAAAAATAAGTGCTCTAGTTAATAACTGTATAAAGTACGATTACTTATCAAAACTCCAAAACACTGAATAATTTTCTTCTTAATAAATTGAAAAAAACAAATACAAAAGATTTTTTGTTAACTATCATTCTTGTTATTATATAATATATCTTAGTTGAACAATAAAAATAAAATATTCATGGTTAACCAATGTTTAATCACTCAGTTTTCCTTACATTGTAAAAAAAATTAATTAAATTAAATTACTATATAACAATGAAAAAGATTTTAACAAGAATGTGGTTTATTAGAAGTGAAAAAAAAAATTACAGCAAAGGTGAATCATAAATTTAATATTAAGATAATCCAAGTAGGGATAAAAAAAATGATATCATGAAATAAAGATATGGAGACAATGATTACATGAATTAGTTGGAGTAAACTATTAGAGATTTAGTCTTCTAAATAAATACTCCAGTACAAAGTACGCAGAAACAGTGACACTGCAGAGTACATAATTGCATAGTTTACGTATGAAATTAAGTTTATATAATAAAATATAGGTCATCAGTGTGTTAAAACATTATAAAGGAAATTAAAATAGAAAAAAAAAAATGTTTGGATGTAAATGGAAATATTTTACTATTTCATGATATCTTCATTCTATATTGGATCTCTTTAAATACATTCATACTTATCACGTTAATGTTATGAAGGTTGTAGTGTCACATGCACTTTACAATTAATTACGTCTTAGAGATGACAATTTGATTATTATAGGTTAAGATTCACTATTATAAATATATATGTAGTATCAGAATTGCCTATTTTTCATCACTTTGTTCACAGATTTTGAAAATTAAATCATTTTCAATCAGAAAATACCACATAATTCTAGTAAATCGCGTATTGACAATAAGTAATAAAAAAATTTTTATAACAAATATGACACACTAGAAACTTATTGATACACCAAATAAATAGATACAAACCATTGAGCTCCAAAATTCCGTTTTTACATTTGAGCATAGATGAGATTTATATGAAAGTTGATTCGTAGATTATATGATAAATCAATCACTTCTTAAATACACGTTCATGAGTTTTTAATAAGAAACAACAAGTACACACAATTACTGAGCCTTGGAAAATCGCTTTTGCTATCTCGTTTTGTTCATAAGCTTTCTTTTTCCTTGCTCTATAGATGTTTATAGCTATAGCTCATTTAATGGACGCTGTAGTTTGCGATTGCAGCGCCACTAGTGACATCAATTAGAATCATCTGTTCAATTGAAAAAATGACAAGTTTATTTTTATTTCTCTCGTTTTCATTATTCACTGACAGAAAAATGTGATAGGCAGAAACAGAGAAGAGAGACGTAAATAGAAGTTTATTCCTTATGGGATGATGTGGCCGGAAATTTTGATACGTGTTGTTGCTGTCAGATGGCAGAATGGTCGAGATTCAGAGACGTTTCTGAGCGTAGGGCGGAGCTCAAGTTCTGTCATGTAGTGGTGGGAGACGAACGGTTTCCCAACATCGTTCTCTGAGAAAATTTCTCTTTCATGTTAACAGGAGAGAAAAAAATAAAAAAACGAAGGAGTTGATAGATTTGTTTCGAATTTTTTTTTAAATAAAACGAAAAATTAAGACGAAGACAATGATGAGGGTGCGGAGTTTCAATTATCAAAAAGTAATTGAGCACGCGCCAAACATTGACCACTTAACCCGTGGGTTTTTCGACGTAAATAACGCTATTGTAAAAAGGTAGACCCGCATCAGTCATAAAAGCGGATTACCTACATAAAAAAGTACCACTTGTTCGTCTTCAGATGTAAAAATGTTAAAACTAGACTCGTAGTCGAGTCAAATGAGGGAAATGGGATAATTTTGGTTTGCTGCGGCCAAAGTGATGATTAATAGATAACTAGATCGAAAATTTTGCGAGGAACACGATGGTGTAGGTCAAGAATGTTTGGCACGCATAGGGGGAGGGGGGGGGAAATCGCGAAAAGCCGCCTCCCATCGCGAATTTCTCGATTTCTATCATAGATATGAAAAAATATTTTAAATAAAAGTTGTTCAGAATTTAATTTTAATGAAAAAAATACTGAACACTTTTTTCATATTTATGATAGATAAAAAGTTATTCGCGACTGAAGCTTCACTAATGACGAAAGCTCCAGTCGCGTCTAAGAAAATTAATAAAAAATACTTAGCGCTATAAATATTACTTTGTGGCAATTTATTTCGAAAAATGAGATATTTAGGTATATTTTCAGAGAAAAAAATTTTTTTTTTATCAATTTTTTCATTACTTTAATGGACAATATATTATTTAAATCGTTCTCATTTTGGTTAAAGTTTTTAATATTTGGGCCCCCGAGCGCGCTTTTCCTCTTCTGGCGCTAACGGGTGCGACAGAGAGCAATACATATCTCTCTGCTTCACTCGCACTCACACAAAACTTCTGCGCACGCGCCGAGTATAGTAGAGCATAAGTGCGAGTGAAATGATCATTCGAACCGTAAGTGTGACAAAGACACTATACGGTGAGGGAAGAGGGGATGTTTTGGGCTCATGCTGGTTACTTCAGAAGTCTTTCCAAGCTCCAACTTTATCAGCGCAAGAATTTTTCTAAGTTCTTCGCGCTTTAAATGTGAGAGAAAATTTTTCAATTTTAGGTCCAATAATCATATATATAGATCGATAGAGAATTAAATTTCCTGTCGGTCTAGCTACACTTTTTTAAGTACTTTTTTTCCGATTTTTTAACGCAAAAAATTAATTTTCTAAGAGAAGAAAAAAATGTACATACATGTTCTTGACATATCTGAGAACATGTTTTTTTTCTCTACATTTGAAGATTGATTGATATAATTATGTGGGAGATATATATTTTTTTTCTCTTAAAAAATTAATTTTTTGCGTTAAAAAATCGGAAAAAAGTACCTAAAAAAGTATAGCTAGATCGACAGGAAATTCAATTCTCTATCGATCTATATATATGATTATTGGACCTAAAATTGAAAAATTTTCTCTCACATTTAAAGCGCGAAGAACTTAGAAAAATTCTTGCGCTGATAAAGTTGGAGCTTGGAAAGACTTCTGAAGTAACCAGCATGAGCCCAAAACATCCCCTCTTCCCTCACCGTATAGTGTCTTTGTCACACTTACGGTTCGAATGATCATTTCACTCGCACTTATGCTCTACTATACTCGGCGCGTGCGCAGAAGTTTTGTGTGAGTGCGAGTGAAGCAGAGAGATATGTATTGCTCTCTGTCGCACCCGTTAGCGCCAGAAGAGGAAAAGCGCGCTCGGGGGCCCAAATATTAAAAACTTTAACCAAAATGAGAACGATTTAAATAATATATTGTCCATAAAAATAACTCATTTTATAGGTATATTGCTACACATAAACATAATGGTTGGTACAAATACTGATCTAAAGCAGCTTAAAAGATTGGAGACTGGGGAAAACCATGGGATGAACAAAAAAGTTTAAATGAAAAAAACAGCTTAGCCCATGTCTCATAGAAACGTTACAATTATTTTAAAAATTATTTATAGACAAAAAGAGGGTTGATAATATCATTAATTAAAGTTGATTGATTATAAAATCTCTCTATATTACTACTTTCACTTTTATCAAAGTAACTCGATTCAAAAAACTTAGAAAATCGTGATATAATAACACTTAAATGCTGCAATGAATCATTTGTAAAAAATAAATATTAACTAAAAAGTTGATCGACTTATATCTAACTAACCAACTACCCTTTTAATTGAAAAAAAAAAAAAAAATTTTCACAAATATTCTTTTCTTCAGCATATATAAAGTCGTTGAAGATACGCAAAGAAGTATTTATATACAGAAACAAATATTTTTTAATATCAATTGATTAATATATTAATGAACTAAGACGAAAGCTGTCAATAATGAAAAGTGATTCAAAAACTTACCTTTCGTTTTTAGAAAAGCGATGAAACGAGAGATGCGGCATCCTCGATGACACATTTTCGCATTTGAAAAATGCACATACATTTGTAGCTGGCATTTTTGCGTACACAATGCACAATCACTTATACACTGTATGCACTCTCGAAAAAAATCAAACAAATTTATATACTGATATATAAATTAAAGCAATGAATTCAATCGATAATTTTTAGTTGTAACTTTCCAAGAATTTCGGAAAATCTGAGAATTCAAGTTGGCTCTTTCTGCCGCGAAGCATTTTTTCTATGCGTGCGCATCTTTGGAGGGGAGTAGGCGTGACTGTGCCAAGAACACTGTCGCCACCTGGCTTTGGGGTACAGAAGCTTACATGTACAGTATCGCCGTCTGGCGGCTGGGGTGATAACTTTGGGGTTTGGGGTGATCTGGGGTGATCCCCAAATGGAACACGGCATTGTGATTCGATTTACGTCTCTCTTCTCTGGCATTGGACTTCTATACTGGTCTCTCTTCTCTGCCGTAGTCGTGCCGGAATTGGCAACACTGAAATTTGCCACTTTATCAGCTATACCAACTATGAAAAAAAAATTTGCTTGATTTTATCTTGCGTCACATCAAGCGATTTGTGATTGTGTTATTATTGAAATCATCTTTTTTTTAGTTATTTTTACTCTCATTAAACATGGATACTTCAAGTAAATCTGATTCAGCTCAGAAAGTAACTATGGTTTACATTTGTGGAGGTAATATTGCAAATATTTCTTAGTTAATAAATTATTATTTGTGAATACATTTTCCTAACCTTAAAATTAAACATTATTTTATTAATAATACTGCGAATAGAAAAATTATTAATTTTTGTCATCATTACATTATTTTAAATAAATAATCCATGATTTCTTTTCAGAATGTCATCATGATAATGAAATCCGAGCAAGAGATCCTATTCGTTGTCGAGAATGTGGATATCGAATTATGTATAAAAAGAGAACCAAAAGATGTATCCTTTTTTATTTAATTAATACTTTTATCTTACAGAAATTGTTCTTATAGCTATTTTTCTTATTTTTAATGTATCTTTTGTTAAGTCTAAAAATTATTTCAATAGTCCTTTTAAATTAAACAATACTTTAAATCTTCATGAATTCTTTTTAACAAATATTTTCCTTAATTAGAATTTTTAGTGGTCGTTTTTGATGCCCGCTGAACGTAAGCACCATCAATTTAGCTGATAACAAAAAAGATGCCTCTCAAGTACCTCTCGCTATGTACTTTATTTTTTTTACAGTAATTTATATCATTATAGATTTACGAAAAATTCAATAATGTTAATAGGATTCACATAATAATCCTTATAAAATCTTGTCATCATCTTGTCATTTTGTTGTAAATAAATGAAGAAATTCTATTTTATTCTTTTTGCTTTTATTTCCAATGATATTTATTCAATAAATTCATACAGCAAAATATTGATGAAATATTTATTGAACTGTTAGTCTACAATAACATTATTTGGCAATTCTATATCCGTATAATGTCTCGTTGTATATTAAGATGAGCATTGAAATGATTTATTTTACAAATGTTATATTATTTCGACAAAAAAAAAAAATTAATGAAAACATTTGTACCAGTGATTATGTATTAGGAAAGACACGGAATATTATTTAATTGAGCATGGCATGTTTTTTTTTCATTTATTTTGTTTCTTATATGAGTATAATAATCATATGTATAATCATAGTAATAATATTGTTAAGTAAATTTTTTCTCGATCTATAACATATGTTAAATAAAATTATAAAAATTTCTTACAATAAAATTTCCCTTACTTTCTGAAGTTGGAAGCTTATAAGATCATAATATATTCAACTTATTCTCTTTAAATTGTTCTTTAATTATATTGGTATACTATATTTATACAATAATAAAGATAACTATTATGATGGTTGCATGAGAATAGCAATTGTCATAATTATTATTAATAATGATTTATAAACATAATTAAAACTAAATAAAAAATAAATATTTTTGTTCCAGTATTTATCTTTTTTTTTTGTACAAATAAGTAAATAATTATGGAGATTTTATATTTTAATATTATAATACAAGTATACACATTGAACATTAAGAATCTCCTAGGCCAAACAAATGAAATGTTTTTTTTTAGTAGCTGATTATGATTCAATATTTCTCCTGAACATGTTGACACACATCAAATGTAGTATTTTCCTGAGAAATATTCATAATTTTTTTGTATGTTTTTTTTTTCTTATGCTCTTATTATATGTAATATATATTTACAATTTTCCCTTTTATTTATATATAAATTTAAATCGTCTTTTCTTTTTTTTGATTTAATTCGTATTATTAACATAAATATCACTTTTTAGTAACACAGAAATATATACTATTTTTTTTATCCTTTTTCCACTCATTTTCATGTGTTTTGTTTTCAGTTTCTTACATTTGTACGTAATAACTATGGTTTATTATATGCTAAATCACATATTAGTTCATTTAAAAAGAACATTTTTACAATGTTTGTAGAATTATATATACATTTTTTGCTCTTATTAAATAAATACATGTCGTTAATTAATATTTTTTTGTTTTAAAATACATAATAAATAATTAAAAATATGATAGTAATAATTGCGGTCTTTATATGCTAATGTAAGTCTCATAAATCTCATGAACATGATTGTAGTAATAATTGAAATAATAATCAAATTAATAGGATATTGGTTTGTAAAAAATTTCATTGAATTCTAATAAACTTGAAATGTTTGATAATTTTTTCTTCCATTGTAACTTTATAAATTATAAATCCCTTTGGTTAATTAAAAAATGTTAATTCAGAAAATAAAAACAAAAATTTCAAATACACTGTATATGCCAATTTTTATACTTTTGGCACTCACGTATCATTATTTTTCTGTTTACTGTTATCATCATAAGGGACGGCAACTAAATCAATGATTTTTTTATTTTGTGCATTTTCTTTACCACAATCACTTTGTATGCTCTTGTATTCGATATTATGTTCAACGAAGCAATGGACTCTTAATTCATTTACACTTGTTAATGTTTTTTCACACATTTGGCACTTATACGACAATGATAATGAAGCAGAAGAAGAATTATTATCATCAAAGCGTAAATTTGGCACGTGAGATTCACTCACTGGTTTGTTAATATCATTACCACTTACTAAAGTATTAGATGTTTGATATGCTCTAGATACTGATATATCTGATGTTATCAAAGGGATATAGGGTAGTTGTGTTTGTTGAATTGTATTTGAAGATATCGGTTCACCTTCATCTGATGATGTTTCACCACCACTTGTTCCCTGATGTGGAACTACTTCAGTGTCCCATTGGCCCATTTTACTGGGATCTTTTTCATACAGCTTTTGAGCCAACATCTAAAAGTAATTTAAAAAATATTAAATAATCAAATTTATCAATTATTAGAATAATTATTTTTTCAATTTAATTTTCTTTTTACCTGAAGACTGGCAAGACTATTATCACAGTCTGTTGTATCGATATCATTCAAATTAACACCAGACCTTTCCATTTCAGCGTAAGTACCAAAAGGTAACTTTCCTAAGCATTCTAACTTCATGATATGCATTTTACTTCTTAAATGTTTAGCAAGATGACCGTGTATTCTGAATGCTATTTTACAGTCAGTACATTTGAATGGTCTTGGATTACTTGTAGTAGCTGCTCCGAACGTAGAAGTCATGCTGACTTTATTATGATGTGAAACTGAGCGTTCATGTTTTGTCAAGTGTCCTTTTGTACGAAAAGAGACTGCACAACTTTCACATCTGAATGGCCGTTCAAAATAATGAATGTTTATGTGCAATCTCAGTTGACTTGGTTTGCTGAATATTTTGTTACAAATTCCACAAATACTCCTTCCATCCTCAGTTACACTAAAGTAAATTATTAAAATTATTATAAATATTTTGATTAATCACTCATATTAATGTTTGATAACAATTTAATATCCTATCTTTAATTAATAATCGTTTATTCTTACCTCACATAATTAGGTGTATGCCCACTAGATGGTTGTAAAAATTCCGCTTGGGGTTTAGATAAATTTCCTCTTGATGGAGATGGTGATCGAAATCTAGGACCTCCAACAATCATTTTTCTTGCTACGTTTTGTTTTAGTGAATTGTCAATTGTACACGGTTTCGACAAATCTACATTAATTTTCATGTCTGTTCTTTCAGAATTTTTTAAATCTCCAATAGAAAAAGATGGCTTAGACATTTCAGTAATCTTCATTAATTCTATCGGTGAAATTTTATCGTTACTTTTAATTTTAAAATCAGGTTTATAATCACCATTGTTATTATTAATGATAACTATATTATTATTTCGAATGTTGCTTCTACTACTGTTACTTTCACTGGAATTATCATGATTAAAATCACTTTTTTTACTATTTAAAAATTTCCCGTCAGAATTATCGGTATGATGATAATCTTTTGTTTCATTAATCGTTGACTGTATTCCTCCCGCAGCTGATGATCTATCAAAGACTTCTGTACTGTCATTTAGTGTTTTAGGGATTTGATTATTATTATCATTGCTACTATTATTAATTACTTTCTCAGTACCAAAAGAATTATCTTGATTCATTTCTATTTCACTTTTTGGTTGTTGATTGGACAATTCACCATTTTTTTCAACACCATAATTATTAGCCTGTTCATTAGAGCGTTTATTTATATCAATTATTAGATGATTGTCAACTGAACTATTAACATCATCATGTACTAACGTTGATTCAGAATTACTTCTTTTAACATAAAACATATCAATGTCATCGGCTTGTTTTTCACATGTAGTTTCAACTTTAACATTATCTTCTTTTCTTGATAAAGCAATTTCTGTCAAGACCATTTGTGGCATCCTATTGTTAGGATCCGCATAAATAATACCAGTAGTACTGACTGTATTTGTTAAAGCACAACTTCGGTCTATAATTACACTGCTATGTGAATAATCTACAAAATTTACATTAGAATATGTTATTTGTTTTTTATCAAGTTTACTATTACAAGTCCCTATACGATATTGTTGTTTCATTTTACTATCCATAACATGTCTCTCAGTTAAGTAAGCTTGCAACATATGACCATTTGCATTATCAGGTTTCCATTCTTTGCCTTGTAACGGTAGTCTCTCCATTGTCTGTACAATTGTTTGCATGAGTATTGGCTCTGAGACCGGCGTGAGAATGTCTGATAGAATTGGTCGCTTAATGTAAGCTAGAGAAGGCGATGATGAAGGAGAAGACGAAGTGGAAGACAGTTGAACAGGTAATTGAGAGGTTTTTGTTGTTAAATCCATTGGTTGTGAAAATGATGATAATAGTGGAGATGATGACGAAGATGATGATGATGAGGATGATAATGATGATGATGAAGATAACGATGATGATGATAGTGATTGATATCGAGAAATAGAAGTATTTTTAGTATCAATTTCAATATCATTGTCCAACTTAGTTGATCTGATTACACTATCTCGACAATCGTCCAGCGATTTACTCGACGGAAAATAATAACGATTAGTAACAGCTTCACTTTGAATGAGTGTTGTTGATGTTACAACACTGAGAGAACTATTAGTAGACATGGTGTTGGTGGTTGTAGTTATTACGTTGCTGTTTGATGATTTATTAATTTGAAAATCCGTTAAAGTGTAAGGATAGGTTGATGGTCGTCCAACAGGCGTGAGACCAGGAAGTCTGATCTGATAACTATTTGGTTGCGAAAGACTAAGTAAACTTTGAGCTGCTTCTTGCTCTTCATTTCCTGATTCATCACTTTCATCAACATCTGTTTCCTCTTCTTCTTCCGAAGACTCGTCCGCCACATTATCACCACCAGCGGCAACTAATTTAGCAATGGCTTCTTTATCGATATTGTCATCACAAACAACAGTCGGTACAGGATTTATTCCCAATTCAACACACTTTTTGTAATGTGCCTTCGATTTCATATGTTTTGTTAAATTACCTTTTGTTTTAAAACTAAAAGTACAATGTTTACAGGTATACGGCCGAACATCTGTATGTGTTCTGATATGTTTCTTTAACATCGAAGGCTTCTTACATCGTATCCCACATTCCTCACAAACATATCTTCCTCTTCCTCTTCCTCGTACATAAGTATAATCTTCATTACTTTTAAATCCGCCATCGAAAATTTTGATACGTTTATTTTTACTTTGTAATGCGGTTGTTGTCGTTGGTATTAATGCGGTGGTTGCGTCATTTTCTTCAAAACAATTATCGGTGGAATTATTAGTTACTAACGTAGTTGGTCTTTGTGAGGAGTGGGTAAGAATGACGTCTTGTTTCTTCCAAGCAACTGTATAATCAAACGAACGATTCCGTGAGTCATAATGTGCCATATCTAAATCTGGTGGTGCTTCCTTGCAAATTTTCCAATTAGAATACATTGATAAACCATGTTGTTGAATTACATACATTGGTTGTGGTCTATTGAGAGTGCAATAAAATACTCTTGTTGAACATTTTAGGCCAAGATAAGTATAAGCATGTCCGTTGAGATAAAGTTGACCGTATGATTTTCTTGGCCTTGGTGTCTCAGGACTTATAAGAGGGAGAGTATTGGCTGTAGGAGTAATTCCATGATGTTTTTTTGGAGTAAATGTACCTGGCTTTAATGGCAATGATGTTGGCCTCAGGAATTTAACAGAAACTTGATGATCATTTTTATTATCAACTCTATTCACTTTCTCTTCTTCAGTTCCATTTTCTTTTTCTTCTTCTTTTTCATCCATCATATATTTTTTATCCGCATCTAATTTATCCATTTTTATTTTTTTTGAGTTAAATTTATCATCATACACTATTACATTATCTGATGAATCTGATTTAGATAATTCAGGATCAATAGACGATACTTTGGATGAATCTAAATTTATAATAACTACCGGAGTAACATTTTCTGAATAGATTGTTCGTGAATTTCCATTAACATTACCATAAGATTGTGGATTTTTAAAATCATCTGAAAGTACACGAATTACTTTACCATTTTCTTGAGTTAGTAATGATGACTCTACTTTTGTTGCGGAATTGCAACTTGTTGTGGTTAAACTATCAATAGATGATGGTTGGCTAAAATAATCTGGATCACTCCAGTTACCTGATCGTTTACGATTTTCTGTTATGAATTTAGATGATATACTACTATTTTCTCCATTTAAATAATTCATTGATTTTTCTGCTTTCAATATTTTATCGTTGATCTCCTTACGTGAATCCGTTGATTGATATTTAAATACTTGACCAGATTTAACATATTGATGATGCTGATTGTCATTATTGAACATATCATTTTTAATAAACTCCGTAGTTGGAGTGGAATTAGATGATAAACCTCGATTTTTTAATTTTTCTTCGAGTTTGGGTGGTACTTTGAGATTAATAAAACCATTAGAGTTATGCTTAAATCCTTTTAAAGATTTTGGATCCGTAGGCGGTGTTGAATTCACCAAATCTAACGGTTGGACCGGTGGATTTAAATTATTATTATTGTTGTTAATATGATTTATTTGTAAATTCGGCATAGATTTTGGAAGAGAATGAGGTTGAAATTTTATCGAACTGGCGAGATCTAATGGCTGCTGAGTAGATAAGGTGGCAACGTGAAATGTTGTTGGAGTAATTTTATTAGCAGCAAGATCAGCAGTAGACTGTTGGACGGAAGGAGAAGACGGTTGTATGACATGGTCCACCACTGGTACTGCAGTTGTAAGCGAATGTGGTCCAGGTATTCCAGGAACATAAGGTATCACTTTGCCACCATGAATAATAGTAGTTATACCAGCAGTAGACGCTGGAGATTGAGGTACAGTTTGTAGTGAACTGTAGGCAGTAATATTCGTTGAGGGATTAACCATATGTGATTCAAAATAATTGTAACATGATGACATTGTTGGTGCTAAGTTAGGAGTTGATATGTTTGGTATAATAGGCGCTAACATTTTCGGTGTATTAGGAAGAGATATGGAAGAATTCGAAGTAGTTACTGGTGTTCCTGGTGGCTTATGAACCATCGTACCTCCTGAATGAAGACCGGATCTTACGACAATTGATGACGTTTCTGATGATGCACCTTTTTGATTAATAGTTAAATCATCACTTGATATTGGTGAATTAGTCTGTCTGGGTTCTATTCTCATCGTTTTAGTTTCCCCTGTATTATCTAATATTCTAACTTCGCCTCCAAACATCTGTAAGGAATTTGGTCTAGGATATTTGGATAATTCTTCAAGAGATCTAAGACTTGTTGGTATTGTAAGATCTGGTTTATGTTTTTTAGACGGTGTATAAGATGCATCAACCAATCGAGTATTACCTAGTAGAGGTCCTGGTGAGGGCAGAGGTTGGATTGTACTATAGTATTCAGATTTACTATTATCAAAATCATCTTTTTTCTCTAAAGTTAATTGCAATTCGTGTTTCGGACTAGATGATTGTTTGCAATAATATTTACGATGAGTTTCTAAATTATCAGCACTTGCATAAAAAATTTTGCAAAAACTACAGAAAAAACTTTCATTTACGGGTTCAGTTGATCCACGATTTTTTAATAATAAATCTTTGATAATAGAACCTTGGAAATTTTGTTTTTTACTGTCACCTTCTTTATCATCTATAACAAAACTTTCACTATAACATCGTTTCTTGGAAGAAACATCTATTAGTTCACTGGAAGACAAATTGAGTGGCTGTTCACATGGTTTATGTTGCTCCACAAGACTTTGCTGTCTTTGACTTACAAGTTTATGCAGTCTTGGATCTACTGCTTCTACTATCGCCTGGTTGTCAGTAATTATTTTGTCAATATGCTCTTGTAATTGTTCTACATTACTTTTAGATATTGTTGATGCAGTTGTGGATGATGACGATGTTGGTACTGACAACGATGATGTTGATGTTAAAGATGTTGAATTATTTGTTGGTATACTAGTAGGTGGGCCAAGTGATATATCTGTATCATTATTAACACACTGAAGAGCTGTATGAAACTTTGGTTTATAAATTTTCCCAGTTTTAATAATTTTAGCCACAGTAGACACAGCATTAGCAGAAGTAACTGTTGATGTAGGTGGTGGAGTTCCAGTTCCGTTACTAGCACTATCTGATAAACTTATGTCTGAATCCTCAGATACCTAGAAAAAATTAATTTTTAAACATTTTAATGTTTAGTAATCATTAAATTAAAAAAATTAAATCATTTTAAATAAATAATGTAAAAATAGAATTATTTGTAATAACTCAACTGCCTACAGTTATAATAATACATTAAAATTGAAAACGATCCAATATTTTTAATGAAATAAAGCTTTTCAAAAAAACAATACCTTGCTAGTATCACCACCTTCCATTTTCAGCACGTGAGCACGAGACCGGCAATGTTTATATAAATTAGATTTAGTTTTGAAAGCAAATCCACACAATACACATGGATAAGGTCTTTCATTAGTGTGGGCCCTAATATGTTTTTGGAGCACACTGGGTTTGGCACATGATAGTTTGCAATAAGGGCAAACGTATCCAGTTTTTTTAGTCTCAGTGTGTTCACCCTCCAATTCCGTAGTTGTTTCTTTACTTTTGGAAGACTCTTTAATATTTTTAGGAAAATCAGTGATGTCACGTTTCTTAGTAGGCACCTCTGAGGATACTGGTGGTGTGGCAATTGGAATAGTGTTTTCATTTTTAATTTCTGCCGGAGATACCATCTCGGCAGTTGCCATTTTCTTAAATTTCTTGTGTAAATATTTTGGTTCTCCATCATTATTATTATTATTAATCTTATTTGTACTCAAATTATTAACACAATTGTTACTATTGGTGCTACTGCCACTGCTACTGCTGTTTATGCTGTTGTTATTATTGTTAATGAACTGAGAGTTTGTCATTGCCACCATTTGAATATCTGAAACATAGAAAATAAATAAAAACCATTATTACAAACACAATAATTTCATTTTCTTCATTTAAAATATGACAGAGTGACAGTGAATTAATTATATTCGTACATAAGATACACGTTCAGTTTTATAAAATGTAAATCTATACACCGGAAATACGTACGATATTTGGGTTAAAAAGTTCAAATGACAATTATATACATTAATAATCATACATAATCATGAACAATGTTAAAAGTAGAGGTAAAAAAATGATTTCTTGAACAAAAAATCTGATATTGATCGTACAATCAGTATTTACATTTATTAAAAAAATCTTATTTACACTTATATCTCGAGTATAAGAGTTTAAATTTATACTATCTTTTATTGTGAAGCGAATAACGAATATACAAAGGTCTTCAAAGTATAATCAATTGAATTCTGGTAATCTACTTCAATTGAAAGATTACAATACATTAATCAGATTTGATAATTCATATCATTACTTTCTTCTTTTTTCATCAGATAATCATGAAATCCCCTGATAAATTTTACAATACTTAAACAAGTCATACAAATAACAAGATGTCAACGTATTCGTTAACTTCGAGTATGATTTTTTACGGCTGAAAGTGCGGGAGGATGAGCAAGAGGGAAACCAAGAGGGAAAAAGAGATAGCACCAAAGCTTGCTCACTACAGAATGACTCAGAGTATCGTCTCACGTATCCGGATATAATAATAAATAAAAAACATCATGCTACACATACTGTATATGTGCTAGTATAGTATTCCTATAATACACTAAAGCTTGGGAATTCCCTTAATTTTCTTTGGCTTTTATCATTAACATACTTTGAATTATTTTTCAAATAAATTCAGTTCATTAAATAATCTCATGAATAATGTAAAAAAACCATTTTAATCCAGTTTGTTATTTATTGAAAGTAATCGATATTTTTGATTAATGGAATAATTAATAAGCCAGTTCTGATTTAATTCGCACTGACAATCTTTATTAAACGTTCTATTTATTTTTTAAACATTTTCATACATGATGTAACATTTAATATATAAGATAAGTAAAATTATGATGTATTAATAAGCGATTGGTAGTAGAAAGTGTAATTCAGAGAAAATTATTGGAAATATAATAAAAGCACTATTGGTGGTATGATGATAAAAATTATCACCAAAACATTGCCCAAAAAATTAATTGTTCAATGAAGACTTAGAAAAGTAAATTAAACCGGAATTGACTTATTTATTATTTTATTGTTGATTATAACATTGATCTTCGAAGAATATTATAAAATATTTTAAAATTTAGTATCAATTTATTAAAAGTTGAAAAATTCTTTCAATTATTGATATTTAAATTTCTTCAATGTCGTATAGAATTTGCACAAATTATTGGTAACATATTATTGTGAAATACTTTTAGTCATTTATATTTTATAGAATAATTGTGTAGGATGTTGATTAATCATCAGTGAATATTATCTTTATAATAATGAATAATGGAGATAGAATATTTTCCTTCACTATCACACGCAGAATAAAAAGTATTTTAATAATATGGAATACATTCAACTGGTTAATATTGAATGTTATTCACCTATACCATATATACGACATAAATGTAAATCATTAACGTGTTAAAAACAAAAATAAAAAACGAAACAAATTAGGTCAGTTATGAGTTGGTGAAAGTAGGCAAATAATCCACAGGAGAAAAGGATACGATAATCCAGCATTTTATAAAGTTAAATATCATATATGTGTCTGTGTATTCAATGTATAACGGTGTTATTTTTATCAAATGCCAAAAATTAAACGAAAGATGCGTAGGCATTGATGATGAATCATTTGAGAGTTTAACTGGAAAAAAAGAGAAGAGACATTTTGTTAATTTATGAATAAGATTGTGCATAAAAAGTAAAATATTTTAATATTTATTGTAGAGTACAAAGTAATTGGAAGTTGTTAGAAGTGCATTTTGTAGATTTAAATAATAAGTGAGTGTAGAGGATAAAAGGAAGCAAGCTAGGTAGCAGAAACAGCAACGGCAGTTTGTCCCAATGAAGAAGTGAGGAGTGTAAGGACTGTGTGTGAGGTGTAGAGGAGAGAATAAGAAGAGTAGCCGCGGGGGCTCATGGTTCACCTGTCGTCATGGCAACGCCGTTTTACCGCTCACTTGTTACTCCATCTGCGCAACCAAAGCAACCTTCTTGTTGGTCCTATACTCACGCAGCATCCGTGCATGATTATTCGAATCCCAGCTATTTACACTTTAAACTTATCGTTCTTGTACGCATATCATTTTTTTTTATTCTTATCTCTCTTATACTTGTTTATCCTGCATATATTTTTTTTCATTTTAAAGCAAAACCTTATTATAAAAATTACAATTCAAACTTTCACAAATATGTGACCGTTTTTTCCCCCATCAATAATACATTTTTACTCTTGTTGGCATTATTACAAAAAACAAAGACGTTTTATTTATAAATAGATCATGTATTTATTATTAAAAAAAAACTTGGATTAAAAATAGCCATTTAGCTTTCATGGTTTTTTTTAATGCTTTTTGACTATTGAACTGAACTTATTTGATAACTTTTTTTAATAAGAGTGTTAGTTATTATTAATCAATTGGTTGTAATAGAATAGTAATGGTTATTTTTTCTTTTGAATAAGCTAACTTACCTAACGTGTCAATCTGATTATTACGATGTAAATTTCGTTGAACTAATACTGACATAGTCCATTAAAAACGCATAAACATTGTCACAACAACTGTTATTATTAAAATAAATAATTGCAATATTATTTATCAGTTGACATTATAATATTATTATAAATATCAGGAATATATAAATATATATATTGATAGATTATTTTCGGGAATAGCATCCATATATTATTAAATGATACTGAACTGAAAATAGTTAATTGTCCACACAGTATCTTTTTCAACTGCAAGACACTTGACACACAATTAGTCATTGCCTACTAACGTAATAAATGTTAAGATATACTTGATAATGTCAACGTTTTTTTTTACTTCATGTGCACTTATAACTTATTTTATGAAAAATTAATTGATTTTTGATTATAAAAAATCCATACGGTAGATTTAAAGTACTAATTGATGTTTTATTTGACACTTACACCTGTTTAATAGTAATATAATTGATAATAATAATTACAAACATGAATGCTTTAGAGTATCATTCACAGATTAGCACATTTACACATTGATTCACTAGAGTTTGGTTTAGAGACTGCTACTGCCTACAGCTTTTCAACATTTCATATAACCCCTCAAAGTGTTGAGTGAGTCTAGCGAGTCTAGTCTCTATACTGTCTCTAGACTACTCTTGACTACGTCACTGGCGCCTAATCGCTCAGCACTTTTCTACACTGCACCAATACAATACACACTGCAATGTTGTATTGTACTTTACCAGCTCTAACGATACGATGATTATAGTTACACCTGTGATATTTCACTTGTCGACTTTTACCTTTTTATAGCTCACTATCTGGCATATCATTCTGCAATAAAATATCATCGTCATCACTGTATCATCAAAGAGACAACTCTGGATGTTGAATAGATAAATAAAAGACTGCTGCTGCAAGATTATGAAAATTTCCAGTCAAAAGATGCTTCAGTAATTGTCACAATAGGTAATGATGATAAATGTTCCAAGTCTTTTTTCTCAACGGAAGACCGAGATCTCTTGATAGTATTATTGAATTCCTGTATCAGCAGGTTAATTAAACAAATTAATTGATGACCAATATTTCCAATAATCATTCAGTGCAAAGTGAAAAAAACCAAACAAGTACCAAACATATACGTAAACCGGGGTTCCTTGCACGTGACGTCAGTTTGCACACAGAGAATCGCGCCACTTGATTGTTTACTCGTATGCGTCATTCGAGCAAAGGTGCCCGAATTCCCGAGTTTCATTTACAGTAACCTTGAGAATAATCACTTTCCATTGATAATTTTTCCAAGTTGTTTTAGTAGTTTATTGTTTATTTAAAGCACACAGAATAATAGAGAAACTTCCGATACATAACATTTATATCATCAATGTGTACACATGATTACTTTTTTGGATTTTAAAAAAGATATATAATTTATATATTCATATAATATATATATATATATGTATATAAATATAACAACAATTTGTTTTTTTTGTTTTTGAATAATAAATAATATAATAGATATTATAGACAAGAGTTTGAATAATAGTAATAATAATAAAAACAATTAACGCATTGTGGTGCGTTGTATTGTTGTCGTTGCGTAATAATGGTGCGCGACGACACACAAATAAGATGTTGTTGGTGCTGCTGTTGGCAGCTAGACTGTATGCACAGGGTGTCTGTGGGTCGTGGGTGAGCTGGTGAACGCGCACTCGACTCGCCTTCTTCCCCTCTTTCGTACATCCGAGGGCCGAGAGAGTTTCCGTCTAGTGAGTAACGATGGTGTGGTAGTAATATAGTGGTTTGTATTAGTAGTGGTAATGTAGTAGCAACAGCTTATGAGTAACAGTACGATGGATATTGGTGTTAGTGATGTAGTGAGGCAGCACTGTCGTGTAGGAGTTGATATACATACTCTCAACTACAGACAAGAACGATTTCTTCTTCATGTATATGAATACAAAGCATGTCTATGGTGCATCAGTGTTTGTAAGATCCTGTACATACACAAATACATGGACAAAGTGACTGTGAAAGGCCGAAAGAGCGATGATATGCTGCTCCGGCCCGGTGCCACTGATGACGATGTTGCGCGCGAGCGATGCGCCGTCTGGCGTGACTGGCGACAGTCTGCCGCGTTCCAAGAACTGCGAGGTAATTCCGTGTATCGAACGCGCACGGGTTCTCTTTCTTTTTCTCCTCTCTTTACCCGCAGCTCCCGTCCACAGTACAGGCTTTCCTTTCCTCTCTACCGCGTCGCTTTTTCTCTTTCTTTCTCTTATGTTTCACTCTCTCGCTCTGGCTTTCTTACTACTATGCTACTCAAAACACTGATTAACTCCACTACCAACACATATCACGAGTAGAGGCACGACCGCATGTAATGTGTACTTACACGAAAAATATGTGCGTATAGTATAACGTAGCACCAGCTCCGAGAATGGTTATAGGTGTGTTGAGATATGTGCAACGAAGAGTGCTAAGGTAAAGCTGAGGTATAATAGGGACCAGAGGTAAATAACGGCAACAAGGCGAGCAGGCTAGACACTGAAAGAAGCTGAGATGCGAAGGTATTTCACGTTTCAAAGCTATATGTAGGTATATACGACATACGTAACTAGGCTTCCCTAATAGAAATATTTCCAACAGTAGCCAGATTCAATCTAACGACAACCCAATGATATCAAATTACATAAATAGCATCGTATACAATTTTAATTTAATCTAATTCTATTTCATTTGTCATTTATAGATAAACAGTATATTAAACACAATATGTCAATTATCTACACACTGATGTACATGTGTACTCAATTGAAAATCAGATTAGTAGTGATATCGGAATCAATGAAGCAAGCCAAATAACTAGGAACTTGAGAGATGGAGAAAGGGAATTCCCTGTAACTGTGTACCAATTACCATATGTGCAGCAGATTACCCATAATTGTGATAGTTGTGTAGGTGCTGAGGTTTTATCCATTCACTTTTCCTATCACTCAACGTGACTAAATTATTTTTACTACAAGTGCCACTGTCTGGTGCAGCTGCTAACGTTGACGAATACTTCAACTATCTCTCTTTCTTACTGATACTTGGATCAAGACTTTCTCGAGACTCTTTAATGGTCAACAGGTTAAATTAACTTTATAACTATATTGATAATTACTCCTAATAGATAAATCTGTCAACCATCAAGGAACATAACTATCTACGATGTGTGGGCGAAAGCAGTTTTAGACTACTTTTACAATATTACATACTTTTCTGATTTTCATTACATATAAATGCCAACTCATAATAAGTAAAATGAGGCTTTTTATTACTACTCGTGGAGAAGTACTTATCACATAAACACTATTTAATCTTACTTCTAATTATTCTTTTTTCTTCTTTAGATTACTCTACTAAGAGGTCTACATCTCATGTATAATAATTCAGTTTTCTACGGCAGTAATATAAATATATACATATCATACATCATATTACTCATAACAGATCAAAGTTCTTAGATTATTTCTTCTGACAGAAATAAACCGACTTTACTGTACATATTTTATGTATACGCATACTTAAATTATACATTATTTTAATATTATTGATAATTTGATATCTACATAAGTGTATATGTATATATGTATTGTACTGAATTATAGCTGATATGATTAAAAGTTACCACTCGTCTAATTTAGTTATTTATTGACCATTATCACTTATAAATTATAATTAACGTGATAACACATCATACTGAATTCTCTTTTTTATGATTGTACTGAGTGTGTTATTGTTTTTTTTTTGATTCACATGGAAGAGATCAAGGCAAAACAAATTTTATGAGAAATAATTAAAATAAAAATTTATTTTGTGCCCAGTTAAAGTTTATGTAAAATTAAAAATTTTTTCATTAATACAATCAATTATATTTTTTAAAACTGTTTTATATTTTGGTGGCAATAATCACTTCTTTTTTTAGCAATAAGTTCTACACAAAAGTAATTATATTTGTCCTAATTTTTTTATTGACTAAATTTCAATCACAATCTGTTTTTTTTTCCTAACTAATAAATAATTATGTTGATTTTAATTTTCAATAATTCTCATAATAATTTAAAAATGTTTTAATGAATAACAATATATTTTTAAAAAATATTTTTCTCTCACATGCAAAATTTTAGCTCCTAAATAATTTTTCTCAAGTGAATTAGAGAGCTGATTGTTTATTTGTTTAACGACTTAGTTACAAATGATAAAATCACGTTAGCAATCAGTTTAATGATAGCAATTTTTTTTTAAATAAAACAAATGTATGAATTATTCAATGAAGGCATTGTCTGACGCTGAATAATTATAAGGAAAATCCTACTTTTAACTGAACGTATGTTATCATTTACGTTGATTAATAAATACAAATATATTTTCTTTTATTTCCAAGACACTCATACACATATGAATGACCTTTATATTTATAGCACTTCAATTAATATTGACCTTTAAATAAGTACTGTGCATCTGAGTAATAATAATTAATTCTATGTAAAATAATATTACCAGTGTATATATGTATAACTATCAATACACATGATCCATACATGTGTATACATATGATTTGTGGTAATTCAGATAATCCTGTGATTCTAAGTAATGCCGCGGGATTCCACGTATCAGAAAAAATGTATCTTTCAGTAGCGTTGGTTCTTTGATACATGAAAGAGATGGATATTAGTAAATCCATACGTTTTTATTATTAAATATGTGTACACGTTAATAATGAACAAATTACACGTGTGCATTGCTCAAGCGTATAATTGTGACAGTAAGGTATATGTTGACACATAGTGTGTATGTGTATACATGTAGGATTAATCATCGTGTAGATAATACACATACACAACCACAATGTTACCATGATATATATCAAGTTGGAGCAGAATTAAATGAATGAATAAAACTTGTACGAGCTGAGTAACGCATCAAGTTTTTCATGAGAAAACTCGCGAAGAATTTTCAAACTCTCGACAGGTTCTGTATGTATTTGGCACTGATTCAAGTCGCCTTTTTGTCTTTATATCATACATATAGCTGTGTACCATCAATAGAGATATTTATTTGTTGATGAGGCAGTTGGTATTTCTAATTTTAACATGCTATATAAATATAAATATTTCTTTAAATAGTCAATTCTCATCTTTTTATGATATAATAAAATAACTTAATATTAATATATAACTATTAATTATTATGATTAATTTTTAAATAATTATTTTTTTTAAATGACAAAAATAAGTTGTTAATAATTAATGAACATTTATTTCTGGAAATATGTTTAAAAGAATACTTTTTAACAATTACTAAATGATTTATTTTAAAGGAAATGATTTAAGGTAAATGAAGGTGTGTTAATTGTTAATAAATCTCATTAAGCATCAAAATGTCATCATTTAACCCGAAAGAAAGTTAAGTATAAACAATAAAACTTGAGGTAATATTACTCTGTAAAGAATGAATTTTTTTCAATGATTTAAGTCTCAATCAAAAGATGAGACGTTTTTCTATGATAATATCGTCTTCTTTTTTTTTTTAATCAATTTGTGATAAGGTAAAAGTACCAAATACCGACCATCTAAGGTTTTTGAAGTTCAATTTGATTATATTAAAGAAATGAAAGTAGAAAATTAAAATTAACCGATACTTTTAATTTCAAAAAAGGTCAATGAATCGTTATTCATTATTATTGATAACTTTTATTGATGAGGAATATTAAAAAAAATATTTTTGAGTAAGTCCTTCTCAAAACTTGACAATGAGCCCATTAACGACCACAAAACTGCCCGTTTCCATACACAAAAAATCATTTATTCGTTATTGTAACTTTATGACTGAGTTTGTGACACAAAAAGTTGTATATAACTCTGTCATTTTTTGGATTATTTATAATTATGGTCACATGAAAAAAAACCAATAAATAAATTGTATTTTATAGAGAAAAAATAAAGTTCATCCTTAATTTATGAATGAATGATACAAACAAAAATAAACATCTAAAATTAAGAATTAATTTAGATAAAATAATTAGAAAATTTTTCCAATGATTAGTTGACTTATGTTTAAAGTAAAAAAAAGGGAGATCATTTTAGTATTAGTTTTACCAAAATTTCAATGATAAGATATTTGTATAAAATAAAAATATAAAAAATATAAATAATATAAATAATAGTATTTTATAACTATAAAATAAATCCTTGTGGTAGTGTATATTTAATATATCTTTGTATTGGGTATAAATGAATCTTTTTACACCCTTCTCCTAATCTTATGTTATTTGCGCCATGTTTGATTCTTTCTGAGAAATCGGCAAAGAACTACTCGAGCAACAGCAGCAGGCAAGCATAGCAAGCGTCGTGCTCCCATCTACCTCGAGGCCAACGATCTTTATTTTTTTTTTCATCGTTTTCTTAACTCACAGCAGACTCACCAACTCCCTCTTGTTGGTTCTCTTGTTCGTCCTTCCATCCTGATTCCCTGATTCTTTTGTACTTTTAACCCACCACGATTCTTCGAATTTATGTAACAAACTCTTTTCTACCTATGCCGACGCCGTGCACGTTTCATTCCTGAAGCACAAGTCTCTGTATAAGTAGTCCACTATATACACACAACACAGAACCTTACTTTGTTCCTCTTTCAATCTTTTTCCCATTCCGACTCATCTCTG